ACTGGCATGACCGTCTTCCTGGCTCCTCCAAAGTGCAAGCTCCAGCGCGGCGAAGTCATCGAGATCTCGCAGGACTCCCGCAAGGCTGCACCAATCAAGGTGCGCTACAGTCCGGAGTTTGACAAGGTTGCCTGGTTCACAATTGACGCGCTGCAGGTGCCTGACTACAGCTCGTTTTCAAAGGGCATGGAAGTTACTGTATCTTGCAAAAAGGGGCGCTTCTCATGCAGAGTCATTCAGGTCTCGGCCGACGTTGCAAAGTCAAATGCTCCCATACTGGTGCGCTTCAACCCGTCCAGGAGTGAGGAATGGGTTGGAGCTGACCGGTTGCACACCAAGGCTTTGCAGTATGTCCCGGCCAAGTTGCCGAGGTCTCTGGTGGAAATTCAGCCTGCCGTGCCAAAGGCAGGCACTCAGGCAATGCCTAACGAAAGCGAGAAATTGGCCAGCAAGTGCTTCTGGAAGTTGTCAGCTTCTGGTTCCGCAGGGGATTCTTCAAGGAGCACCCGGCGCCCCTGTGCTGCAGGCCAGAAGCTTGCAGAGCCGTTGTCCAGCACGCAACCATCACTTGAGCCTCTGCCCTGGCACGAGCCTGAGTCTGAAGACGACGAGGATGCTACAATCAAGTTGGAGGTGGCAATCACAGCAGTCGGCGAAGCCTTGCAGCGCCAGGCAATATGTGTCCCATGGCAACTGATCCTTGAGGAGGCACTTCGCCGTCCGACAGCATCGCATTTAGTTGCCAGTGTTCTGGTCCACTACGGGTGGATGGATACGAATTTTTCTTCCGAGCCAGAGCTTCAGAAATTGCATGATCATTTGGTGAAGCTGCGGTCTGACTTGTTTGAAGATGCCTCTAGCCGTTGCTCGGATAAAGATTCAGATGCTGGCGGAGCTGTTGGACTTGCAGGGGCACTGGTTCATGATGGAGCCTCCAGCTGCGCCATGCAAGCAAGCAGCTTAGATGAGCTCCTTGAAGCGCAACCCGATACACTCGACAAGCTGGAAGGGACGTTGATTTGCGGCAGCTTTCGCTGCGTTGCAGGTAGCTCAGAAGGCAAGCTGAAGCATTGTGGCGAGGTCATTGTGGAGCGTGGCCCGGCATACATGATCGGCTGCAAGGTCCGGATTCCTGCAGGTAGGAGTCGTGGAAATGCCTGGGATTGCGATTGCTGCTACGTGCGGATCCTTGTGGTCGCGTTCTCAGTTTTCTAGGTGTTGTTTATTGTGCAGCACGGTGTGCAGCAAGATTTGAGCATGACTGGCCAAGGGCCTCATGTTTCTCGCAGATGGCGCGGCACGCAAGATGCAGGAGACTTTCAGCGCAAACGATTTTCGCAGGACTGACGCTTGCTAGCACATGCTAGCACGACGGTGCTCGGCCAGTCTTGTCAAGCACGAGTCAGTCTAGTGGGGCAAGAATCCAGCAGCCTTAGGGCAGGGAGCACAGCCCGAATAGCTGCAGGACCGAGCTCTATGGCCGCATTGTGCACTGCAAGGAGTTGGGCGTTCCCCGGCAGAAGCTTTTTGTCTGCTCCGAGTCCAAGAAGACCAACCACGAAAGGTACGTGGCATTCAAGGCCATCAATGGAAAGCTGCCTCCCATTCAGGTACCTTGGCCAAAGGGCACAACTCCTGCGAGCATATCCGACTTGCACGTAGTGGAGGTCCGCAGCTGGGATGGCGACCGCCCACCAAAAGGAAAATACGTGAAGAGTTTGAAGATGCATGCGCGAAACTCTGATGCTGCTATCCTCGAGCCTGTGCAGATTTCCATGAACTTCTGTGATTGGAAGCTGAAGGATTGTGCATGGCCCGCTCAGGGTTTCCCACGGCCTGATCTGTCCTCACGCGTGCACTTTTGCAATTCTAGCCCGGTGGTTGGCATTCAGCATAAGGGCGTGCCGACGAGCGTGGTGGTGTCCTGCGAGCCAGATACCGGCTTGCACGTCCATGTCCTGGATATCAATGCTTACCTTGAAAGCCCTGAGCTTCAGCACATCCGCGAGCTTGTTCAACGCCGCGCAGTTGGAGTCTGGTTCATGGACCATGAGGACATGCCCTTAGATGCTAACCTGCCCTTGTTTCCCCCAGAGATGGAGAAGGAGCTGACTTTCGCGGAGGGCTGTGAGCGCGCGGCCGTGACTTTCACCTTCCCCTTTACAGAGCACCAGGTAGTCGACATGCACAACGTGCAAATCTCGGAGACTATCGTGCGATGTGATTCGCTTTTGAGCCCTGCAGATGCAGGCCGCTTGATCCTGGGGGAAGCAGACGGGGATGCTATCGGCAGGACGCTTCGTCTTGTAGCACGACTTGCTAAGAAGTTTGAGGATGCAGAGATTGCCAGAGAGAGCCTTGCGGTGTTCGAGCATCTCGACATCAGTTTCTGTCGCAAGGCATGTAGCAGTACTCGCTCTGCGCAACTCATCAGTTCTCGGACCATGCGAACTCTCACCTACATGGTTGACCGGCATGTTGGCAACTGCTTGATGGGGCAATCTTGGTCTGAACTGCTCGTCGGTGATGCGCAGCTATCGTCTGCATTGTCGGTGACGTATTCCCACAGCCAACCTGACCCATCCACTTGGAAAGTCATGGAGCGCTTGCTCCGCCTTAGGCCGGCAGAAGGTCAACGAAACCTGACAGTCAGGGATGCCGTGCAGTCTTTGACAGAAATCCTCGAGCAGCCTGGGCTTTCTGACTTGCAACAGCATTGCTTTCAGTCATCATTCCTTCGACGACTACGGAATTGTTTTCCTCAGGCCTACTTTGAAGTCCATCCGGTGTCAGAAGTGGGGGCTCAGGCTTCGAACTGCAGCTTCTTTCGCCACGAACCGATTTTTCCTGTGACAGCTCCGTTGCAGCGCAATCTTGACATCCTCGGCATGCGAGCGCTGAAGTGCCATCTCGGCCTAGCATGCCCATCGAATCACATGCTTCTCACAAAGGCAGAGCTTCAGGAGGCAGCTGCTCGGGCAAATGCCAGGACAAGTGCGAAGAACTTTGGATTGCATATTTTCAGGGTCATTTCCTGGATGAAGGAGCTAGTGCCTGGACGTCGTGTCTCGGATGCCTTGATCGGGGCTGTTGGACCGAGCTACATCAACGTTCTGATTCCTTCACCCTGTGCCAATATCCTCGAGCTCAAGGTGCCAGTGGCAGCTCTCTGTGGCGACACCTGTGCTTCAGACTATGACGTAACCACACAGTCCATTAGGCTAGCAAGCGGAGCATCGCCCATGGAGCCTGGTCTTGCAATCCGCACGTGGTATTTCCCGTCTATGGTGTGCACTATAGCAAGGAACTGCGCACAGCCCATTCCCCATCATGCCGCTGCCAACTCAGTTCTGGTGTCTGAGATGCTCTTTGAGGAAAAGCATGGCGCCACCGCATCCTTCTCCTTTCCTGTGGGCCAAAGAATGTTCCCGGAAATGTTCTCGTCATGCCCTGATCTCACCGAGTGGGCGTTGATGGATCGCCGTTTGGAGAAGTATTCGGAACTTTGGGCCCGAGTTCGGACATGCCAAGTCCACGCAGGAGCAGTCAACAGTTCTTTGTACACTCCATCTTCCAAGGTGCATGCCCCGAAGTGGCACGCAGCAGATGCAACGTGGTACCTGCAGTGCAAGGTGGAGATCGCGCTTGCTGAACATCAGTGGCTTCATGACGAGGATCTGGCTGTTCTGAGCTGTCAACAGGCCGATCGTATTTTGGAGCTGCGCGGTGTCATTTGTCAGGCACACTTCACCGGACACCGCAAGACTCACGGTGAGGAGGCTGTGCAGGCCTTCAGCATCGAGATAAAGTTATCCCAAGCCTGCCATGGACTCAGGGAGACAGGTGCAGAGTTCATCATGGCTGGCGCCACCCTTTCGATTTACTTCATCGCTGTGGCCCGGAACGAGAAGAAGAGCATTCGAATGCTGAAGGCACTCCCCGAAACGCTTCCACTTCAAGGCATGCCCCTTACTTCGACCAGAACGACTTTGCAGCAGAAGCGAGAGATGGAGATGAGACCATTGCTCACGAAGGCCCAAGTGAACCTGGCATTGGACAAGCCAGAATATCAGGTTGAGGGCTGCAAGGGCCTTAATGACAAGCAGCTGCTAGCATTGAAACGTGGATTGCAGATGCCGTTCACGATGGTCCAAGGCCCACCTGGCACTGGCAAGACCTCGTTGCTTCAGCAACTCATCGTGGCCGCTGTTTCTGCCATGCCTGGCAGACATGGCAGGCAACCCAAAGACCGTGATCGTATTCTCGTTTGTGCACCGTCGAATCAAGCTGCTGACCACCTTCTGGATAGACTGGTCCGAGACACGACCATTCCAGCCCATTATGTCACCCGTGTGTACTCAAGGTCCATTGAGCAAGAGAATGGAAGCACCTACAGCAGTCGCAATTCCAGAAGCGAACGCAGATTCGACATCCAGAATCACCTTGAAGAGCATGCGCTACACTACAAAGTAAGCCAAGTTCTCCATCCATCCGCCAGGCAGTCTCAGAGCGACCAGAAGGCTTTCAATCGAGCATACGAGATGGCGGAGGAGAAGGTCTTGAAGCAAAGCTATATCGTGATCACAACCTGCGCCAACTCCTACCTTCACACGGCGCTTAGCCATGGTGATGGGGTCCGCCCTGTCTCTTTTCACACGGCAGTCATTGATGAAGCTGCACAGGCGAGCGAGCCTGATGTTGTGCTTGCTGCAGCCCTCGCCGCTCACCGCATCGTCGTGGTTGGAGATCATCAACAGCTAGGCCCAGTGGTACCTGAGCGCAACCTCTGCTCTGCCTATGTCATGGCCTTGGAGACCCCGTTCCTGGAGCGCATGGTGCAAAATCCTCGACGCCTTCGGCTGAGTACCATGCTGGATGTGCAATACCGTATGCATCCCTCTATCCGCAGCTTCCCATCTACGCAGTTCTATGAATCGAAGCTCCTCGATGGAGTTTCGATGTCCTTCAGGCCAAAGCTGCGATGTCTCTGGCCGCAGGAGAAGGAGCATCGCCTCTTTATCGATTGCCGGAGCCCCCAATCTAAGGACAGGAATCCGTCGGCTCAGTCTGCGCAAAGTATGACTTCCCTCAAAAACTCCGGTGAGGCAGAGGTTGTTGCTTCTGTTTGCAAGGCGCTGCTAGATCAGGGTTGTTCAGGAATGGACATTGCAGTCCTTACCCCATACACATCCCAGCAACATGAAATTCGTGCACAGCTCGAGTGTGCCGTTGGACGCGGCAGGGCTTCAAGTATCCTGGTGGGAACGGTGCATGCCTTGCAGGGCTCAGAGCGGGAGTACATCATCCTCAGTTTCGTTCGAAGTGTCTCTGAAGAGATGCAAGATATCACACGCTCCACGGAAGCTTTCTCAAAGGGAGACTCTACAGCGTTGCGTGAACTGCATGCACAGAACATCGGCATAGTGTCGAACCGCAAGCTCCTGAACGTGGCTTTGACCCGCGCAAAGTATGGCCTCGTTTGCATTGGCAACGCAGAGGTGCTCAGCAGCGGATCCAAAGACTGCCTGGACTTGATCACGAGCCTGGACGGTTCCAGATGCCTGGTTGATCGACAAGGTTTTCTGAAGAGGCTGCGAGAAAGCTGCTGGCCAAAGTCCAAAAGCAGAGGAAGTCCTCCCACCGCCAGTGCATTGTCAACGATTCGGCCAGAGGACTCTGCTTCACAAGTTGGACTCCGTTTCTCGCCAACAAAGGATGCCGGAACTGAAGGTTCTGTGCTGTCTGTATCGAGTTCCATCTCTGTCGTCTCGGAAGCTGGTACGGGACCCAAATGCTTTCTGCGTGGTACCCTGTTGCCGGCTGCAAGTGGGATGCATGTTCCTGTTGAGTCCATCGATACTGGTACCCGAATCATCGCCGCAGGAAGCAGTGACTTATTGCAGGTGGCTGACGTGCATTCTCATCGTGGTGACTTTGACCTTGTCGAGATACAGACTGAGTGTGCACGGATTTTGGTGACCTCAACTCATCGGATTGTCATGGAGTGGGGCGAGAGGAGGCAAGCCAGTCGAGTAAACGAAGGTGACCTTGTGCAAACGAGCGGTGGTGCTGCTCCCGTTCCGTCCTTAGTATCGTCTCGGTTGCGGGTGGGGTCTATCACATCTGTCAAGAATAGCCTGGAACGTCTTCTCCAGAGCTGAAATGAAGCTGTAGATCAACAGATCTAGCTGAGACTCAGTACTGGTGGGTCAGTTTGCATTTTTGGAGAACTGTGGCCACTGATCCCGCTAACGCTGAAGGTCATGCACGTGTACCGGTACCGGTACTCAGCTCTTGTCGACGTCGTCCAAGTCGTGTTCCATCCAGACCAACCGGTTGAGGCGACAATTTGCTTGCTTGCTATCTCAATTACTTCAATGCATGGGGTTGTTGGTTGCTGAAGGCCATTTGGCCTTCCCCACACCGGGTCTGGACGTGCGGCCATCCTCCCACACAAGCTGCTCCACCTGCTGGGAAGGCCTGTGGCAAGGCTGGGCACTTTCCAGCTCGCGTGTGCTGTGCCCAGCTCACTCAAGTGCTGATTCGGCCTGAGGGAAGACACCGGGCCACTCGACGCTCCGGCCAAAATAGACGTCCAGGATTCCGGAATGAACCAGGCCTGGCGAGCGTTGAGTAAAGCGGCTTGCTAATTTCATTTTGGCATTTCGGCTTTTCCAGCGCCGACAACAGATGCCCAGGCACCTCCTCTGGGGGAACGCGAGATGGAACAAGCCACACAGACAGCTATCAAGGCAGTACTTGCTGGGTTGACCGCATTGCTGTTGGACAGTAGGACCCTGTAGGACCCTGAACCCGAAACACTGGAGCTGTAGGAGACGCGGTCAGTGTTGCAGAGACCTTTGATCAGTTCGAAGCTTCCTGGCTGCATCGAGAGTTGCGTACGTGTTGCCCTCTCTGCGTTCATAGCCATCAACCCAAGCTCTCAGTGCGCACACGCTGGCCGCCCTGTCTTTTGGTGCTGACGGGCTGACGGGGTTCATGTATGAATAAGCATGTTCGGCAGTTCCCCTTCGCCTGCTGTGCATAGCTCGGTTTGCTTGATTTTGCTTCGCGTGTCATGGTAGCAGCAGTAGGAAGAGCGTAGGTGCTGAAGAAGATCAGTATCGTTCGGTCCTTCTTGGCGTCCGCAGCCTCGTCATGCCTCATCTAGGGTGTTCGCTTCATCGTGCTAGTCTTGGTGTTTTCGCGGCTTGACGCTTGTCAGGCTGCGATCAATCCGTGGGTACCGACGCCCGGTGCACATGATGGGAGTGTCGCTGAGTGAGCCAGCCCCAACAGCTCCAAGCTTGTGGTAGCGATGCTGCCACCAGCTTTTGCACAGCATGCATGAGCTGCTGGAAGTGGCATACACTGCTGATTGGATCTCCTACTTCTTCCAGTTTTCATGATCCGCCAGCAATGGTACTTGCTGCTACAAAGGGTTCTGAAAAACTGCTGGTGGAGTTTACTGAACAATGCTACTACGACCTCTTGCATGAACGGAATGCAGGAGGGTTTGCTTCGGAAAGGTCAATTCGTTTGCGCTCTAGGCCGGCCGCCAGTGTATAACTTGTTAAAACACCCCAAGATGTGTTGCGACTGCAGCTGTTGCAAACCAAACTCCTGGTATTTTGACCGTATGGGCAGTGACGCATGTTGACACATGTCGACATGGGAGCACGCCCACATCTCTTCAGGCAGGAGCGTGGCAAATCTTTGATTTGTGTGAGTGTCAGTCCATGTGCCTACTTCAGTCGTTCAGATTCTGGCCTGGGCTGTCCCGGGCAGGATGGGTTGGCACGCTCAACTCAATGACTCGTGCAGTACAATTCGAACGGCAGTGACGCAAGGGATACCATGCCAATGGTGGCGACTGCAGCTGCGATGATTTGTGCTTTGGCGTTAGTATCGCCTCGGGAGAGCCGTCAAGTTCCATACCCTTGCGAGCACGCCACATGTAGCTGTCTCAATTTGTTTAGGAGCTGGGCAGGCAGTTTTACAGTTTTCCAATGGGGTCACATTCCTCCACACCTGCTCCACACCTGATGAACTTGAGCCGCGTAAGCTTGGTCCGACTACCGGCGCTCCACTGATTCACCC